CACTATATTGAATACATGCCATATTGTTAGGAAATTCCTTAATACAGACACTGACACACACATTTAATTTTAGTTTTGTTTTGGTTGCTATGCCTTGACTCTGGTCCGGCATAGTACACAGCCACCGGTTTAAACCGAGTATTACCTACTAAACCCAACATAATAATAATAATAATAAGTTTCAATAAAAATGATAAAATGTAAATTGAATTTTATCATAATGAGTTTGCTTGAATTTCCTTTCTTCTGAGATCGCAGCAATGCACGATGGGTAAGCTAGTTTACTTCTAAAAAATTCAACATTTTGTTCATACTAACTCTACAATAGAATCATCTGTTACTAAAAAGCTGATATAAATTTTTCTAAAATCATCATCAATTTTAAAGAACACCAAGAAAAGCTTTCAGAACTTTTTGCCTTTCTTGATATTTAATATCTGTTGAAATGTAAGCATTCTATAAATTCAAAACTATTTTGCTAGTTATTCACAACTATTTAACAATACTTTCATTTACATGTAAAAATTGGTTTTGTTATGAAATAATAACATCACACTAAATATGTTATTTCAAATACCAAACAAACAGCTGGATTCCTTTATTGGGCTATTACAGCTAAATAATTACTAAGCAATTTGGTAGGAGACAGGATGTTAGCCTCCATCTCTTGTTAAATATAATAATTATAAATAAATTAAGTAGAGCCTATCTTTTCTTCCAGAATATTCTAAAATTAATTTACAGTATTTATAATTATTATATTTAACAAGAGATTATAATCTGCCCCCTGCCAAACTGCTTAATAGTTATTTAGCCTTAATAGCCCAATAAAGAAATCCAGCTGTTCATTTGGTATTCGAAGTAATTATTGGGGATAGTTGTATCCATTATATAAATACATTATTCCCAGAATTACAAAATTCTAATTCTTCCTTATACTGGATAACAAATAATTTATATTAAATTATTTTTTTACCTGTTGAATCTTTATATTTTTCATATAGCTGTATCAACATTGTTGTTTCTTCTTCTGTCCAGTCTCTTTTCAAACTATACAATAAATAAAAAATATCAATTAATAAAGCATTAAAACATGAATAATTTCTAATTTCTTGTAATTTTTAAATTTAATGTAATAAAGCTTTTGATAGCTGGATCAAAGAATAAATTAAAAGCAAATACCCAGTTTGTTTTCTATCAGATAATGGTACTAACTTAGCACTGTTTTTCTTATTAAATTTTAAATAATGTATCTTATCTTGCAAATATCATAAAGTTTTTGCTTTTTTTGGTGGATGTAAATAAAACATGATTCTCCATCATAAAGCATTATGAATAAAAATAGTATGAAAATACATAAGAATACATTACTCACGAAACAGATTTTTGTTTATGGAGTTGTTTTGCATTTTCCACAATTCCAAGTTGTTTAAGTTTTCGAATTACTTGCCTTCTTGTTTTTGTTTGATCTATCATATGTTCAAGAATATGATCTATTACATCTTTACCTATTTAAAGAAAAATATTATTATTAATTAATATTATAATATATATATACATACATACAGTATAACCTCCAAATAGCAGACACAATTGGGACTGAGAAGTTTGTCTGCTATTCAAAGGTACTGTACAGTACATGCTGGCAGCTATATTGTATCAACATAGTGAAGAATACAATAGATTACAAAAATATCAAATTTGATTAGTAGTGTGAATGGTATACATAGCATATATAAAAGATATATACAATATATTATTTATTTTTTCAGCTGTAAAAATCTCGTTTGTATGTCGAGTTACAAATTAAATTTGCTATCCACTTCAAGGGGTGGGAAATATATTGTGAATTGTTACATTTATAACATTATTTATGATCTAAGCGACTAATAAAAATCAATATAGAGATTTGTCTGCTTTGTAGTTATCAAGTAGGTGTAACTTTTTGATCATTTTNTACAATATATTATTTATTTTTTCAGCTGTAAAAATCTCGTTTGTATGTCGAGTTACAAATTAAATTTGCTATCCACTTCAAGGGGTGGGAAATATATTGTGAATTGTTACATTTATAACATTATTTATGATCTAAGCGACTAATAAAAATCAATATAGAGATTTGTCTGCTTTGTAGTTATCAAGTAGGTGTAACTTTTTGATCATTTTTGTTTTTTCTCAGTAACTGATTTATTAAAAATTACACTTTAGCCACCACAAAGCTGTTAAAATGGTTACAACAGTATTTGTTTGATGAAAGTTCAAAGGTTGCATTATTAAGGCAATTTGCTAACCATTTAAAGTGTGGGAAGTTATTCAGTTTTCTTGCATTTATGACATCATTCATGATCTTAAGTTTCTTTCTTGTTACTACTATACTACAACATTGCTTGTGGTTGCCCACAGGGGCTGGTCTGTGGACCACTCCTGTGGAACCTCACTTTTAATTATTTTCTATTTGAGGATTTTGGTCACGACAACGTTACCACCTATGCAGATGACATTCTAATTTTAATTGGCAGTAATTCACATGCAGCACTGGAGAAAGAGGCAGTGACACACTTGAGCAAATCTACAACTGGGGCCTCAAGCATAAACTCAAATTTAATCCTGACAAGACCATGTGCATAGTATTCAACAAACCAAGACAACGAAATCTATAGCTTCGTACCCCAACTATCCATATGAACAATCAGTCTATTAAAGTACAGAAAACTATTAAGTATCTTGGCTGGACCATCGTCTCAGCTGGGACGACCATATCAAGTATATAACTAACCGAACCAACCTCATTTTTCGAGCTTTCTCTCAGTTTGCACATAAGAAGTGGGGTTTAAATTCTGCTGCCTTCAGCATCGTATATGATCACATATTCACTCTCATCATTACATATGCAAGTGGTAGCTGGAACTGGGCTCCCAGAAAGGTACATCCACATAGAAAGCTTATCTCATCCCAGCGTAAAGCATTGATCCTCATCTCTGAGGCTACTGCACCATGCCCAATGCAGATCCTTACCCAAAAACCGCCCATTACCAATGTCATCCAAGCCAGATATGAGCTTTTGGATACTTCTGCACTACTACTTGCAATATTCCTGCCGACAATTATGAGAAAATAAATATGCTCACTGATCTTACTCCCCTTATATCTGCAATTACATCAGCGCAGACATGCCTATCAACCCTGATGTGGAGATCTACACAGATGGCTCTGGGCTAAATGGGAACATTGGCTGCGCTTTCGTCATACATCAAGGAAAGCTCGAAATCCACCACCATATTTACAATTTCTTCACAATTTATGCAGTGTCTTTCTGGCCGAGCTCAAAGCCATTCATATGGCAATTGGCTGGTCTGAACAGCATCTCATTAACCAACAGATAGCCATTTTCACAGATTGCCAGTCTGCCATTTCTCTCATTAACAGCAGGCAGCTTCATCCTATCACAACAGCAATAAAAAATCTCACTTGTTTTTCCTCAAACAGTTACAGTAGCAGCTGGGTCCGTGGGCACCAAGGCACTGCCGGAAACAAAAGAGCGGATCAGCTGGTGAAGGCCGCCACCAATGATAATATGTTGGATCCCATATACATGCTCAGCCGTAGCAAAATCAAAAGTCTTTTGCATAATGATATTCTTCTCCACTGGCAGAACTCTTGGGACAACAACCACAGTAACCAAACCTACCAATTCATACCTAATATCAACGAGCATCACTGCCATACCTGGATTAATATCAATTCTCTCCTTACTCAGTTTATTACCGGCCATGGGAGATTTTCCAGCTATCTCCATTGTTTTATGGGTAAACATACTCCCCTTTCTGCCATCTGTAAGGAGGTGGATGGTCCCAACCACTATCTTTACCTTGAAAGATCTTGTGTGCCTTGAAAGGGAACGTCCCAAAATTGAACTAATTGCACAGAAATTAAACATCTGGCTGTGTCAGCAACATGATCTCCTTAAACACAAGGAACTTTATTCAGATTTTCATAATCTAGTGCTTGCTTATGAGCAAGTGGCACCCATCACCAAGCATGAGTAGTTCCTCACCAGACATCGTTCTCATTCATTACCTCTGCCACTGCTATGGACCTCTGTAAATGTTGTACATATGCCACCATAACTGCTACTGTTTTCAAGGTTGTAATGTAATGACTCATATTACTTCTCTTATATATTGTATTCTATATGCAAATTGTATTTTGCACTCTATTATATTGTATCATTACTTAATTTGTTGTATTGTACTCAATTTTATGTAATTTATGTGCTTTTCCCTTCTGCACTTATATACATCTCCAAGTTTTATTTTGTATTAACACTTGTAATATTGCATAGTGTCTGTACTTGTAAAGCTTTCAAAATCCATCACTTTGTGTAATTCTGTATGTACCTTATACTGTAAACAAATTGTAATTAACTATATCATCATTGAATTTAACTGTAACATCATTGTATTAACTCTTGTATACTATTCCAACCTACTTTTTGATATCTCTGTAATTCCTGTATTGTAAACAAGTTAACAATTACTGTATCTGGTTTTCATTCCCAGTAGTGCCATGCGGAGCCAGGCATGTACAAACTATTGTATATAATAAAGATATTGACTGACTGACTACTACTATACTACAGTTCTTGTCGAATAAATGAATAACTTTGGATAGTTTATAGTTTTTTTGGTATCATAAGATTAATTCCAACAATAAGACAGAAGTTTAATAACATTAATATGTATAATGATAAAAGATAGATAACAAATGAAGAATATTGTTCAACTTCTTATAACCCTCCTCACCTATTCATATTTTAAGCTAGTCTTTATTTGATGCCTACGGTCAAAATTAATCGTCTGAAAAAATATTTGAACCAATTCTTTCTTTTCATTTTGAAATATTTTGTACGTAATTAATTTTTTCAGAATATTGAACGCAGGACATTGAGTTTTTGTAAGGTTGGTTATGGACAACAGTGACCATTATTTGGAGGTAAATATAATAGATGTCCTATTTGAAGGGTCTGGGGATTGTAACAATGTCCATTAAGTAGAGGTATCCACTATTTGGGAGTGTCTGTAAATAGAGGTTTCACCATATAAACTTTCCAAATCATAAATACACAGGAATCTTATATACAGGTACACAACTAAATTTCTGGCACTCTTGATTCCAAAGCCTTGCTGGATTAACTATTTTACCAGACTAACTGTGGTAATGTATAATAAGTAAAGCTTCAAAATATTATCTCTTTCCTTATTATTGTCTATTGCTCCTTTATATCATAAACAGTTGATGAACACAGTTTAACTATAGATTTCACTATAGCTTATGCACCAAAATAACATGTCATTTTTTTTAACAGTTCTACTGTATCTTGGATTGATGTAGACTGGAGGGTGTCAATGGCGACACTCTCATCTCTCTTAGAAGCCACAGCTATGGTTAAATTTAAGTAAAACTAAGAATATCACAAAGTTGTGATATCACCACTAATGAGTACAAGTAAACAATGTAAATGTGAGGATCCAAATTTGGATGTGTTTATAGCATTTCATCATAAAATCACATCATAGTCATACTTTCATTCCACGGTGTCATAAGATCACAGTGCAGCTATACTTTAGTTCAATAAATGTCAACTGTTACACCTGGGAGTTAAACATCTGTTAAGTTCTCAGGCCTAATAAAGACGCTTTCTCATCACCTTTCGACTTAGTATCGCGATTTTAACAATTCAACATTAGACAAGAACAACAAAGTGAGTCAGTCGTCACCAGTTCTTCCATCGGATTACTTCTACGTAATATCTGTGCTCCTTGGGATACTTCTTAGCTTGTGAATATCAAGAATCGTCTAATATCAAGAATCGCCTAATATCAAAGGAAAAGAACTATTGGACTATTGGACTTAACACTACCTTCCCGAACTTTCTGTCTTACCGACTGGATCCAGATCAAGGTATTTATCGCCATGCATATGAATTGTAAACTCTCTCTCTCGAGAATGCTCAGTTAACTTTACTATCGAACTTTACTATCAACATATTGTAAGATATGTATTCCCTATTACCGATTAAACATTTGATTTGTTACGTTAATCTAGTCTATGAAGGAATCACTTCCGGTGCGCTGTCTCTCCTTCTATCTCGACTCTGATCGCTCACACACGCAACCGCTCACGCCCGAATGAAACGGTTTCTGTGTCTAGCCGTGAAGGCACAGTGGTGTCAGTCCTGACGAAACCCGTCATTGCGATCTTCGCTGACGCGATGTCAACCCTTCAGTCACGTGGTGCCAAAGTATAGGGAGGCCCTTCGGCATTGTCACATAAATAGGCATGACCTGTTCACAATGCCATCCACGGTTGCCCAGTAACTGGTGACTACGGAAATTTCAAGTTCACTCTCGTAATTTTGTCTGGATTAAAGGAGACACTAGACCATCAATTGCCAGAAATTTAGTACCTGTATAATCTATAATAATGTATGAAACTGTAGTCTGAATTATAAATTTTTATACTTATAATTTAGACCACAATGTAACAATGTCATACATTATTTGGTTTTTATAGGCTTTTAACAAATTCATTTATCTTAATTAATTACATAATAAAAGGCAACATTTTAAACATATACAAAAATTTAATTGAACACTAAAGAAAATCTAACTTTTGCCTACCTTGTAATGCATAGAGAGAAATAGTTTAAAAAGTTACTTTAATTTCATTGAAGAAGGGAAATCAAATGTGTTTTTTAAATTAATTTTTATCATTAATTATTTCAAATAATCAAATTTAATGATTTATTTCGACTTTCTGAGGATGTTCATCACTATATCCAGAAAAATTAATAATAGGGAAGAATTCTTTTGACTTTTCTAGTCTCGTGACAGTAGCTCACACTAAAATTTACCAAGAAATTCTATGCAATAAATTTCCCATATGTTATATATCCACAGTAGTAAAACTGTGCCTGGTGAGCTACATGCAGCCCAAAAGGCATAGTCACCTTCTAGACCCATGGTTCTCAATCCGTGGTCCACAGAACACAGGTGGTCCACAGAACACGGGTGCACCATGGACCGCTTCAAATATTCTGCAAAAAAACAAATATACAATTAAAAATTGTTGCAAAAGAAAAATCAATACAATGTAAAATAATTTTTGTATGGGAATGTAATTAACAAATGCCAATGTCTTCATCTACTAGACTGAGTGCGATTGATTTCAAAAAGGTTTGCCACCCCTGCTTGAAAGCTGATGTATTGTAAGTGTTCTGCAGAAAAAAATGTCAAAGTCTAGTGTTCCCCGACTTCAAAAAGATTGAGAACTGAGAACCACTGTTCTAGACTCTTATTGCAATTCCATATAATTATAGAATTTCTTTTTTATACACTTGGTACATACTATTTACACATATATTTTTGTAAGTTTTCTGACTATTATGTAGTGATCAGTACATAAGGATTGTGAGTGTAATTTGCAACTTACACTTAGGGTATATTCATAAAATTAGAGTTAAATAATTGTTTACTTAGTTAGTCATAAAGTACCAGTAAACAGTGATATTTACAATAGTATAGTGATAACTGTAATATTTTAACTACAGTTGTATATATAATATAAGTAGGTAATGTGGTTTTCCAATATGCATTCCAATAGAGAATGCTGCTCTTGTGTATTTCCAATAGGTCATATTGCTCCTATTATGACAAGGTTTAACCACCCATTATCAACATATGGATTGTATAATTCAAATCATACAATCCACATGTTGCCAGCACTTTAAATAATACAAATAGTATAAATATATCTTTCATTTGTACATAACCAAAACTATACATCTTTTCATTGTAAGTAAAAATTTTGATAACTATTTCAGAAATACTCAGATGTGACCATTCTACTTACACTAGAGAGTAAATAAACAACAAATAAATTCAAGAATTAATAACTGATCAATTAATATAAATAAAATCAATTACAAATTCAAATTGTCAATCACAAATTTGTCATTTGTTACAGAATTTGCACAGTAAAATCTGTAATTAAACTGAAATTACTTGATACTAAATTTTTTTCCTTCATTTTGAACAAGTTTTAATAATTTTTCTTTCTTTTTTTTTTATCATTAAACTATACCAGATAAATATCACATAGTTACAGTCATTTTTACAGTAAAATTACTTTTATGACATATGTAAGAATGTGAGTGATTCCGGTATGTGAGTGATAACTGTTATTTGTCTGGAGAATTGGTAAGATTCCCAGAGTCAGCAATCTGACACCACTTAATCTTGCAGGCTAAGACGCAAATGAAAGTATAAAATATGATAATGGACTTTCTTAGGAGGGTCTAGTTTAATACATATAAGACAATAGAGTTAGACCATAAAACTAGAATGTCATTTCTAGACCACAACAAAGAATTTATTAACAAAAAGAAACAATTGATACACAAAAATCTAAATAAAGGTTACATAATATTCCCTAAGTTCTAATTATAAAACTATTAACAAATCAACTACTTCATTATCCAACTGCCCTAGTTTCTAATGAGAGAGTGTTTACATGTATTTGAGTCAAATATAATACTTCATTTCTATTTCTTATATTCTTTGAAGTCTTTAGTGGGGTCGGCCACAATTTCTTGCATTTGGCAAGAAACTCTTTTGATCTGCACACGAACTTTCTTGTTCATGAGTTTGGGTTTTCCAGCTCAGTGCTGGAAAACCCAAACTCACCCTTGGCCCTATTTATATTCATCCATCCAATGATTAGGGACAATTCGAGTTACCTGAACAAGGAAGAAGCAATAAGGAACTTCCTCGTTGAGTTGATATCAGAGTCAACATCTCTCCTCAGGAACTTCCTTCAAAAATGAAAGAAAAGACCCTCTGTGACTAACCACAAAAAATGATTTTTTTGTGTTAAATTATTAAATTTTAGGCAAATGCATTGTCTCAGATTCTCACACATATATAAGTAATATTTTATTACTAAGTTTAATCCAAAGTAATTCTAATTACAAATGGAAGAATTTGAAAGCAAGAATTCAGAACAATTTGATTCTAAAAAGTTCTTGCTGTCCCAAAAACTTGTGCAAATACTAAGAATTCTCAGATGTGATCCTTAAGAGTTCACACAACAGGAAACAAGCCAGTTGAGTACCAAAACCTAGTGTTCTTGAAAACTTGGTTCTCAGAAATTCAATTCTTGAAAGTTCTCAATTTATCCTTGATTAATCCAACAAAGATTAATATTAATTAATAAAGACTATGTCCACATGTCTCTCATTATGTAACCTGTCTCCAAAAAGGTTTGAATTCACTCTTGGAATATAGTTCATAATGCTCTGTGGTGACAGTTATACCTGTCACCACAGAGCATTATTTGTTCACAATAAAATAAATTAAATCTTAATATTCTGTTTTGTTCAGGTTAAATTATGATATTCATGCCCAAAAATATCTTCTATTTCTAAGTTAGACAGGTTTCCAGCTTATAAAATTCAAGACAAGCAATTATTAATTGACATTGTCACAATGCCAGGCTACAATTTTTAATCATATTTTAATTTTTAAAAATATTATGTGACTTATAGTTCAGACTGGAAGTTCATATATATTGATAGTTAATTAATATAGTCATATCTGCTTAGCCTTCCATATTTGTCTCGATTTTAGTAGTGTCTTTCCTCTCTACATCATACTTCTCCCAATAACAATAAAGTCACACCAGTCATCTATCCAACTGCATTTCTTGAGAAAACTTTTAATTGAAATCATGTTACTTCTAGTCCAGAGTGTAAGTTCATATGGTTAATTGGGCTCTCTAAGCTTTCTATATCTGGTCTCAATTTTCAACTGTCTAACTCTGTTCTCAAGATTAATGAAGAATAGACAGATGGATGATAATGGGAATATTCAGGTCTGCAATTTCAAAATTGCAGCCCAAAATTTTTCTCCCATTTAGACAGCTTTTACTGCATTAAGAAATTTCTAATATTTAATATTATAATTTACATATTTTATTATTACTTACCACCTTCAGTATTATTTTCATATTCCTGATAAAGATTTCGTAACTCGTCTTCTTGTTCTTCGTTCCATAATTCATTAATATTACTATAATGAAATTATTTCATTTCTAATCATGTTCTTTTCTTTGATATATAATTTTATATTTTATTTAATAAAAATATCTTACGGTTTAGTTGTTCCATAGCCATTTTCAATTTCATAAATGTCGCTTAATTTTTTCCAGAAAAGAATTTCTACAAAAACTTTATTATTCTTTTCAGCTGTTTCAAAAAATTTCCTCACTACAAATTTTGAAAACCTTTTCAGTTCCTGTCATTAAAAATATATATCCATATCAATGAAAATTGTTTTAAAAATTTTGCAAGTTATTTAACAAATTTTAAAATATAATTTAAATAAAATAAAACAATAAGACTTTGTATGTTACTAACTACATTTTAAATTTATTCTTCTGCAAATTATCACAATACAATAAATAAAACGTGTGTCAAATTTACAATTAAATTATGACAATAAAAACACGCCTACTTAACTTTAATATTAAATAAATAAAACATAAAAACTGCTGCTTGGACTTAAAAATTTATTTATAAATTGAAATGTTCTCAAGTGAGAATGCTCTTATCCAAAAGTGCTATACAAGTACTTTTTCCCCCCAGGTATGCAACATAAGCAAACCAATATTTCAAAGATGAATGAAATGCTTAATGTATTTCATTGTATAGATAGATAGCTAAAAAAATAAGACTCGTGTCTACTCATTAGAATGTAATCTTAATAGTCTAATAGAATTTACAGAAAACGTTTGAAATTACTAATTTGTAATTAAAAATAATACAAAAATTTATATTCAGTTGGTAAATTTATATTTACCAACTGAATAAATAGTCAATAATTTGCCAAGTGTTAATATATGTCACCTTAGTGTGTCTGCAAAGAAACAACAAAAATTTATAAATAAAAGCAATTATTCAATTTAAAAATAAATTTCAAAATTTCTTGAAATAGTCTCTGGTGAATTTCAAATTTCCAGCATCAAGTGAATCCTAACCACTATATTTTCTGTAACTTGTTTATTCAATGTATTACATATGCATTTTGGGCCATTGAAGGAAACTCAATTGCCCCTTCTCAGCATGATAATTACATGTCAAAATAAATCATCATAAAATTTGGATATATCATCCAATCGTTGGAAATGACTATTTTGTTGAAAAATAATTAAATTATAGTTTGATAATGTTTAATTGAGTGTTGTAATGTAAGGAACCAAGTCCGAGCGTTATTTTTAGTTACTTTTATTTTTGCTTATTATTCTATTTTGTTTGGGGCTTATGTTTTGTTAGGACGAAGGTTTCCTCACCATTCACCTTAGAAACTTAAAAATAGAAGAGAAACCAACTCACCAACGAGAGAAAAGCGCCATAGAAAAAAAACTCACACGCACTTGCATTCCCAAGCGGAAAAAAGTAAGTCCACACCAAGAAAAAGGGGGGGGAAAACCCACAAGCACAAACTTAGAAACTTGCTAAACCTTAAAGAATAAAAAACATCCCCAAAATTGTCAAAAAGAATAATGTAAAAGGTTAGCGAGTATTGTCGGAAAATAGGCTGCCAGACAAATAGAAAAAGTTTATTGTTAGCAAATAAGTATGTAAATGAGGGGAGTGATCGCATTCAGAATTGTGACGTCACCTCACAGTATAAAGACTGAACCTCAAGTGAAGACGGACGAGGTGAGCTTCTGATAGCAACGAGCTTGGTGAGCTTCGTAGCAGTGAACGAGAGAGGTGTCCGATAGGATCAAATAGTTCCAAGGCGATTTTGAAGTTATTCGATTTGTGGATCGACGAATAGAGAAAGTCTTGAGAGTTGAGGAAATAGGTTCCTAGTATATTGAGGTGACGATTAGGATCTTTAATTCATAAGAATTATTGTATATAAGTTAAGTCTTTGAATTTTGTCGAATTCCAAAGGGGAATAGATTTAAGTTAGAAACTAGATTGATTTGAGTTTTGTCGGGTTGATTCTTATTGAGTTTCATTGAATAAATTTGTTATTTGATTTTACTAAATATTGTATATAGTTATTATTAGAATTATTAATTAGATAGTTGATTTTGTTATTGACAAACTTGGTCATTATTTAATTTGGTGCACGCTAAAAGTCCAGGCCTGGCACACTAACGCGAATCCGCGTAAAGTACCCGTTAGGGAATGGCTATATCCGGCACACAGTCGTGTCGTTAATCGTTGGAAAGTCGGAAAAATAATATAGTACTTTACAGTAAGATATGAATTGTGTTTAATGCAGTACAGTATAATTTGTATTAGGGAATATCAATGTATGAAGTATGGAGAGTTATGAATCTTTTTAACAAAATACAGTCATTTTCAGTATTAGTTGATATCTGAGTTTTACACTGTTTTATTTTTATGTGTTGTAATTATCAAACTGAGAAATGGTTGTTGAGTTTCCTTCAACAGTTAGAAATGCACAGAGAGTATTTTAAGAAATTTCTAATTATAGATAACTTCACATTAGCATTTTTCATTGGATGAATAAATATTTCCTTTCAAGACATTTAATTATTTTTGTTAGTCATAAGAAATTTTTAATAAACATAATGTTAACTTAACAATTTTCTTTTATAATATAAATAACAGATACTATATACATAAATTTTAATTTTATAANGACTTTGTATGTTACTAACTACATTTTAAATTTATTCTTCTGCAAATTATCACAATACAATAAATAAAACGTGTGTCAAATTTACAATTAAATTATGACAATAAAAACACGCCTACTTAACTTTAATATTAAATAAATAAAACATAAAAACTGCTGCTTGGACTTAAAAATTTATTTATAAATTGAAATGTTCTCAAGTGAGAATGCTCTTATCCAAAAGTGCTATACAAGTACTTTTTCCCCCCAGGTATGCAACATAAGCAAACCAATATTTCAAAGATGAATGAAATGCTTAATGTATTTCATTGTATAGATAGATAGCTAAAAAAATAAGACTCGTGTCTACTCATTAGAATGTAATCTTAATAGTCTAATAGAATTTACAGAAAACGTTTGAAATTACTAATTTGTAATTAAAAATAATACAAAAATTTATATTCAGTTGGTAAATTTATATTTACCAACTGAATAAATAGTCAATAATTTGCCAAGTGTTGATATATGTCACCTTAGTGTGTCTGCAAAGAAACAACAAAAATTTATAAATAAAAGCAATTATTCAATTTAAAAATAAATTTCAAAATTTCTTGAAATAGTCTCTGGTGAATTTCAAATTTCCAGCATCAAGTGAATCCTAACCACTATATTTTCTGTAACTTGTTTATTCAATGTATTACATATGCATTTTGGGCCATTGAAGGAAACTCAATTGCCCCTTCTCAGCATGATAATTACATGTCAAAATAAATCATCATAAAATTTGGATATATCATCCAATCGTTGGAAATGACTATTTTGTTGAAAAATAATTAAATTATAGTTTGATAATGTTTAATTGAGTGTTGTAATGTAAGGAACCAAGTCCGAGCGTTATTTTTAGTTACTTTTATTTTTGCTTATTATTCTATTTTGTTTGGGGCTTATGTTTTGTTAGGACGAAGGTTTCCTCACCATTCACCTTAGAAACTTAAAAATAGAAGAGAAACCAACTCACCAACGAGAGAAAAGCGCCATAGAAAAAAAA